AATGCCTGATTATTATAATTAATTCATCATTAAATATGGGTAATTCCATGACAAATCGACCAGCGATTCGGCCGACCATCTCAAAAATGAATGAAACATGGCATGTTGGTTATTTATGTTGTAAATGTTAATAAAATCAAAATTTTAGAGTGCTAGCTCAACCAGATCCAAAGATATACGCCTTCAAAGTCGAAAATTGCGAAGTGCATGATTTCATTAAATCTTGTTATTTTAAAAAATACTTAAGATAGAGTTACAAATTATATTACGTTGGAAAATACTTTTTTAAAAAACTTTAAATAGTCAAAATCAAAATGTATAAAGCTTTATTTTCTTATCTATAATATAAATTTATAAAAAAATATTTATAATAAATTGTAGAAAATAACAAATTTATTATAAAAAATAATGCGATATTCCATTTAATAATGATATAATTAGTAAATAATAATAAATCAGCATTATTTTTTAATATTATTAATTTTTGTTCAATTTTTGACGATTTGGTCTATTAACCATATTAGCAAAGCTAAATAATCTTTCAACGGGGGCTGAGGAGGGTAATATTGTGTTATATTTAATAAATATTTATAACTATTTAACATATTTATACTCCGCCTGTCATCTTTCATATAATTTAGGACCTCTATTTCAATATCATTTATTGAATTATTAGAATTGGATGTGGTACTTTTAAGGCAAAAGTAATCATCATCTTCATCAATTGAAGATTTTGTTGAAGTATTAATTTCAATATTATTTTTAAAAACAATTCAAACTTCATGTAATAACAAATCCTGAAGGTATTTTTTTTCTTCTTCACCATCAATCCAACGATTTTTAAAATAGGGATGAGAAATAGTTGCCAAAAATGCATTTTTAAAATTGTTATCAAAATCATATATATTTTTAAATCTTTTATTTAAATAATTTTCTATGACAACAGCTAATGGTTTGCAAAATTGTAGATTGGTTTGAATAAAATTTGTAATTTTTTTTAACGACATTTAAAATTGGAGCTGATTCTCCATAATAGAAGTTGATTTCACTCTGTATTTTGTCAATCGCTATAGCCAATGGGGCTATTATATTGCAATATTCTTCTAAATATTGAATTTCAATATCTCTTAATTTAGGAAATTTTAATTTTTGACATAATTTAGGAAGTTCGCCTTTAAATTTTAATAAACTATGAAGACTATCATACAAACTATTCCATCTAGTGCAACAAGGTGTAACTAATTGTTTTCCTAAAACTGCTTTGATAAGTTCTGCAGTTTTAGGCCTATTATTTGCATTCCATAGCTTAGTACATTTAGCTATTGCAGGATGATGAGTTTTAGAAATGTTAGGAGAATCCTTAATAGCTCTCTCGACATCTGTATTGGCAATTAGACTTATCGTATGGCACAAACAACGAATGTGTTGAGGCAATGTTATTGAGGCTTCTTTAGACCCTTAAATAAACAAATAAATAATTTTATTTGAATAAATTTTTTTACTAAATTTACAATATCATAATAAATTTTAAAGAAGTATTAAATAATACTTTCAATGATTTCGAATTCTATACATTCATCATCATTGATGTCAAAGTCATTCTCTACAGCTTCCATAGAATATCCAAACTCCTTGAAAGCTTTCTTAAAGTTAGAGCCGTTATCTGTAACAGTTGTTATAACTTTTTCGTCAATACCAAAGTCACGATGAATTTCTTTATTATGATCATCTTGAAGTACTTCAAAAAATTTGCCATTAAGTATGCTTAGTTTAAATTTATTGTTATAATTTTCGGTTGAAGAATCATCTGAAGACGAAGATAAACATATTATTCTATTTTCTTCTTCCATAATTTTAATAGACAGATATAAAATGATTCAAATATGGTAGTTCTAATTGTTAGCAAATTGCTATATGACGACCAATGTAATATATCAAAAATTATCTTAAAATATCTAAATTTTGATTTAAATCTTAAAACAATATCATTTTAACTTTTAATACTATTTAAATTAACCAATATAAATTTTTTTTAAGTATCTGTATCTTTTTGAATACAAAGTTGGTTAAGATACAAATACGATACTGGATACAAGATACTTTCCAAAATTTTAAAAAAGATTCAAGATACAAATATCCGCGATACTGCCCAACCCTGTTGTAGATAGAGTAGAGCTACGCTAGGTTTTCCTCAAATCCATTAAACTGAATATTTCGTTATGGGAAAAAAAGAGGAGCCCTTCAAATTTTTGTGGGCAAGCCGCATGTACTTATATGCCTAATAGTCCTAGGACTATTATTAAAACGTCCATAGGCTAAGAGAGCTGGGCAAACAAAAGCCTATACCCAAGAATTATGCATTTATTTAACCCATTAATGGTGACACTTTTTTCCAGCGGATGAAAATTCTTGATTTTTTATATTATTTCCTTTAGTTTAACTAAGAAATAAAAAAAATCGGAAAGAAAAAATCATCCTAAATAGGAAATCTGAACCGTTGCATATCTGCAACGTTGACCATTAGGGGTATAAAAATAAGGTAAAATTATATTATTGCAAAAATCTAAATACAATAGATAATTTCCAAATTTATTAAACAATCAATATGTATGACACATGTTACATATATATCTTGTTTGACTGACTAAGACAAAGCTTACAACTTCGCCCTTTTTAATCGATAATAGTTGTAACATAATGACCAAACAGCTTCCATAAAACTCCTTGAAAGCTTTCTTAAAGTTAGAGCCGTTATCAGTAACAGTTGCTATAACTTTTTCGTCAATACCAAAGTCACGATGAATTTCCTTATTATGATCATCTTGAAGTACTTCAAAAAATTTGCCATTAAGTATGCTTAGTTTAAATTTATTGTTATAATTTTCGGTTGAAGAATCATCTGAAGACGAAGATAAACATATTATTCTATTTTCTTCTTCCATAATTTTAAAATAGACAGATATAAAACGATTCAAATATGGTAGTTATATGACGACCAACGTCATATATCAAAAATTATCTTAAAATATTTAAATTTTGATTAAATTTTTCATTTAAATCTTAAAACAATATCATTTTAAATTTTAATACTATTTAAATTAACCAATATAAATTTTTTTAAAGTATCTGTATCTTTTTGAATACAAAGTTGGTTAAGATACAAATACTTTTAAATAATATGTATCTTAGATACTGGATACAAGATACTTTCCAAAATTTTAAACAAGATACAAAAGTATCTTGTATCTTAGATACAAATATCTGCGATACTGCCCAACCCTGCCTGGGGCGATATGTAAGCAGGATACTATTTCAAATTTTTTGACGGATTTAGTAAATTTTGTGTTGTAGGTGATGGATGCCAGTGATAATTGTAATAATCCTCTTCAATTTATAGGGAATTTTTTAAAAATATTACTAAAATAGTTAACAATAATGACTAGATAACATTTGGATGGCTGGGGTAAAAATCAGAGAACTGCAGGCCTAGCTTAGATGGGCCGGGCTATATTTTAACTTTTTTAAATATATCCCGGCTGGGCCTAAAAAAAAATTTTTTTTAAATTACCTAGTCCAGCCGTATATTTTAAATCGCCATTATTATCTATAAATTAATATATATAATATTTTAAGAAAAATCTGGGCTTGACTTGAAAATATAAAACCCAGGCCAGGCCGAAAATATTTGATTCTTAAACTTTTAAAATTTTATTGAAAAACATGTCAGAAATTTATAATGGAAAATAATAAACATTTTTTTATATATTTAACTTTAGTCTTCCTAAAATTTTGAAACAAGTTTCACACTACTTTACATTGAAAAAATTTATTTGAAAGATTTGTTAATTTTAAATTTTATTTTTCCAAAAAATTAGAAGTATTTTAAAAAAAATTTTGAGTAAAAATCTTTCTTTTTATTAAATATTTACTTTGAAAGATTTTTTTTAGATTTTTCTCAGAATTTTTTCCAGCCACTTCGGCTTCAAGTGAACGATTATTTTAATAATCCTTTATTAGAGGAAAGACAAAAGTAATTTAAAAAAATGGCATTCTTCATTTATATAAAGATTTTAATTTATAAATGTGACGTGAGTTACCTATAAAAATACGAATCGTGTTTGTTTTGTATTATTCCGTACGATTCGAATAAATCCTTAGTCATATTCGTACGAATAATAAACACATTCGATTTGATTCGTCGAATATTCAATTCTATTCTTTGAAAATATTTTCAAAAATGATTATTAAAATTTAAAAAATTGATTTATGGGAAAAAAATGAAAATTTTTTGCAAAGAACATGTTAAATACTTAGAATCACTTAAAATATTTAGGAATAATTTCGAATATTTACAAATAATTTTAATTTAAACGAATAATTCAATCAAATAATAGATAAAAAATTATACGATAGATAGTATATTTTCCTTATTCAACGAAAATTTGAATCAAAAATTTTGTTATTCGTATTCATTCGATACGAATCGATTAGCGAATAATTATTTTTAGGTATACCTGTATAATTTTTAATTATCACAATAAACACGGTTTTATTATTATTTTGTTTGATATTTGTTTAAGAACTCTGGAAATAAAAAAAAAGGAAAAAATGATAATATTTGATGAAAATGAACTTAAATTAAATATATTTTAATTTAAAAGTAGTTCGTGAATTTTCCAAGCGCTACATGCGTGTTCAAAATTTTGTCGTTCATGAGTGGGTGGGTAGGTTGAGAAAAAAAACTGAGCATCTGGCATAAATGTTTTAAGAATCAGAATTTATTTCTATTTAAATACTTTTTTGAAAATTTATTCAACCTTGTTATCATTATTCATTTCAAATAATTCGAATTCAAGAATACATTACTGTTATAAATTAGTCATTAGTCTTTTTTTAAATAATTTATATCTCAAAATTTAACTATTTTTGTTTTGAATAGTGAATTAGAATTCATTTCAAGACAGCAACAAGAAAGTGTGGGTGGAGCTGGGGGTAATGTCATGGCATCAGCGGGAATCAAAGAGCTTTTATCACCTTTCAGAAATTTATCCATATTTCTCCTAGAGCTATGTGAACTCGATTACACGCTATTTTTGCCTTACATGAGCCTTTTGCCCCGATATCTTGATGGAAATGTATGCTATCATTTAAAACAATGAACCCCTTAAAAGCTACATTATTACTGAGATTCCTAAAATCTTTTTATTTATTGGCCCCCTTTTTAATATAATTAGAACTGTTTTTTCAGAGTCACTTAAAATAATTTCAATAATAAATTTTTTTTATTTGAATGACAAAAAGACGTTGAAAATAAATGTATCTATTCAAACTTTTCGATAGCATATTATTGATCATTATCAAAACATTAAGATTCTAAAAATTTAGCACTAAAAAAGATTCAATTTTCATTAAACGGGTTTTTTTACCATTCTAATAATTTTTTTTATAATGCATGTGAAATATAAATCATTTAAATTTAAAAATATTTTGAAAGAAATTATATTTAAATATTTAAAAAAACAGAGTTATTCGCTCCGAAATGCAGCTCTTTCTATAATGGGTGAAATGATAATCAAAACTAGACAAACAGCCATCGATGAAGGCATTTTGGAAGAAAAGAACGAAGATGATGAAGGCCAAACAAGGGAAACATACTTTATATATATCAAAGTTATTCACTTTCATTTTTGAAAATAAATATCAGATCTGCAAGCCCACTTAGGTTATACTCTACCCGGAACACACATCTAATAAATGCTATAATTTTGAAAGTGTCCAGAGCCGGGCTTATAAATTTTAATAAATTAAAAATCCTAGCCAGGTTAATTTTAATTAAAATTATACCAATTAGTTGGAAAATTACTTAATGAAACGTTTAATGTTACCTAGAACCCAGTTAAAAGTTTAACTGAATAAATATGTTAAATGGGATGAGCTAAGCAAATTATTTAGCAAATATAAAGGTCATTCCATTTGAAGTCAATCTTTGTATTTGTAAAAGCAAGATTGAGTAACCCTTGTAAAGAAGAATATATATATATATAAATTTAAAATCAAATTATTAATATAATCCCATTTTAATAATCTTTATTCATCCAATAATCATAATTACAATCCGTAAAGTAAAAGGTATAAACAAAATAAAAATTATAGAAAAACGTACAAGAAAATATTTAATCATCGCTCTAAAAAAATAATAATTTTCTTATAAAAATTTAAATTTACATAGTCCGTAACATTTTTTCTCCGAACTTTCCCACATAATACCATCTTTAACATATTATTTTCATAATAAAAAAATATATAAAATCTTACATAATTATATTAATTCTTCTCATTTTCATTATTCAAATTAATCATGTCATTATTCTGCTCAACAGTATTGACCACTATTTTTAAAACCAGGGGTTCGAACTAAACTCGAACCTGGAAGAAAACCCGGGTTTTTGGGAAAAAAATCTGAACCTGACCGAACCTGAACCCCTTTTATAAAATTTTCAAAACCCTGAACCAAACACGGAAGATTTATTTGAACCTGAGTTCAGTGTATTATTTAAATTAATATAAGATAGGTTCAGTGTATTGTTTAAATTAATATAAGATATTTGTATAATTGTAAATACAAATACAAATATTAATAATTTACTTGACATTTTATAATATTTTCAAATTTCCAATTAAATGAAGTGTTAATAATTAAACAACTTAATTCATTTACTCCATTTTTAAATTTTTTAAAATTTATTCTCAAAGATTCCTATTGGATTTTTAATAAATTTTAAACAATTAAATTCATTAACGCCATTAATTTTTAATTTTTAACTTATTCTCAAAGATTATTAATTAGAGGAAAATGAAAGTGAACAAGTCAAAGTTAAAATTATTATATTGAACATTGTTAATTTAAAGAAATACGTCTAAATAAAATTTTTTAAATCTATACATGACTATGCCTTGTATTTTTAACTATATTTTGCCTATAAATAAGATAAAAAATTTATTTTTTATACCAAATTTATGTCTAGTTTTTTAATTATGATTTAAATATAGAATATATTTTTTTATCAATTCAAAAATTCTTAAACCCGGGCTGAACCCGGAACCAAACCCGGGTTCTAAAATATTTCCCTAAACTGAACCCGAACCAAACCTATCTACTTTTTTTAACCTTAAACCGAACTTGAACCAAAAATTTTGCCGAATTCGCATCCCTGTTGAAAACGAATGAAATTTATAAGTTGGTTGGTTGTAATTGTAAATATTACATTAAAATTAAGCGTTCTAGCATGTCTAAACCCAGAGTTATGGGTCTTCAAAATGCAGGCCAAGCGCGATCTTGATTTGGCGATTTTCAAATTTATAAAAAATATTGTTGGAACAAATAATATATCATTTTGTATTCACTAAAATCTTCCTTTAGAAAATACAATTTTTAAATATATATCTTCATTGGTGACATATTTCTAATGAATAACTATCATAAGCCAAGCTTCTTTCATGTTAAAATGAGTCTTCCGAATATTTTATTTTTTGGTAAATTTATCCTTGAATGTTCTATTGAGTAAATTATTATTTCGCTAAATTCTAAATTAGTCTGGACTTATAATTCTAAACATTTAGCTAGACAATTTCCAAACTGATGAATTTTAGTGGGCTGTAATTCTTTCACAATTCCACTAGTTTCTATTCATTTTTTTTCAGTTAGTCTGTCATTATATTAAAAAAAATATCAAAAACGAATTGAATATATCATTTTTAAAGTTGATCTATTTCCATTTAAACGAACCTTTTTAAACAACTTTATATAGGATCATATTTACGACACAAACGCTTTCGTTAGGAGCAAATGTTTTCAAATTCTTTGCCGGATTTATTCTTCGTCCAATATGCAGGCTTTACCCCGCTCCATATTTCCCTCATTTCTGAACAAAGCCCAGGACCGACTAAACGATAAATCCAGCAACGTTAGAAAAAACGCACTTCAGTTTTTGACACTTACTCTCACCTGTAACGGTCATCTATCCATACCTTTGGATATTTTAGCAGAAAATATCAAAGTATATGAACAAAAAATCGCACAAAATTTGATGAAATGTGCCGACCTAGTTAGTTCCCATATGGTCAATCTGAAAAATAATAATGAACAGAATCTTATGACACAAATTATAGATGGACATGATAAAAACGATCTAAATATAGGTGAACAAAAGGATCTAGATCAGCATGGCGATGGAGAAGGTGATTTTAATTTTTTAAAAAATTTAAAACATTTTGAGTTCAATCCTAGTAAAAAAAATTATAATTTAATCTTAAATATATCAATAATAATCAGAGACCTGGAACAAAGACATTTTTGAGTTCATGTTCTTTTCACATTCGGGTCAAATGAATTGTTAATCTTTGTAATATCCATTATTACATCAAAGCTAAATTTGAAAATTACTTTAAGATTTTACGCACAAACAATTTAAGAAAAATTTGAAATTTCACCATGAAAGATTTTTTATGCATAAAATCATAAAAAATTTATTTATATAAATTGTTTTTTGGAATTTTAGATAAAAATTTTTATCAAAAATTTTGTTTAAGCATTCTCAAAAACACGAGATTAAAATATTTTTTATTTTGAAGATCATTTCAAACTCTGCATCTATACATTAACTTATTTTTAAAATGATTATCATTTTTGTACAATAGTTAATATAAATTTGATTATAAAAAAACTTTTATGATAAAATATTAATTTTATAATAATTAAAGACCTTAAATTTGATTTTTTAAAAAAAGGTTTTTATAATTCTAGTTAATGGGTAGCACGGCTAGGTAATAAAAAAAATATCGTGTATAATATATAAAAAAAGCATATAGATTATGCAATAAAACGCATAATCTATCGTTTAAAATCCGAGTAATGTCATGGATATTGAAATTTTTTTATATAATTTATTTATTCTTAAAATATGGCTAAAATTTTTATTTAAAACTATTTATCTAACATTAGTAATGTAATATAATTGCTACTGAGCCAAAATTTAGTTTTTGATATAAATAAAACATACATGGTTTCCCAATTAAAAAGGAAAACATTCGATCAAAAAAGGAAAAGTACCAAAGGCTTAGAAAAAATCCGATCAAAAAAGGAAAAGTGTCAAGCAAAAAAGTAAAAGGTCCAATCACAAAAGGAAAAGTACCAAAGACTTAGGAAAAAGTCTAATCAAAAAAGAAAATTCCCATGCTATTTTTTCTTTAATTTTTATTTTTCCTTCTTATTTTATTTCTAACTAATTGGGATCTCTTTAACTCATTTTTAATCTCTTAATCTTTTCTTCAATTGATTTTATAATATTTTTTGTATTTTTAAAAATAATTTATTTATTTTCCCTGTCATTTCTTCTCACTTCTCTATTTTTTTGTCAAACAATTCTTTTTCCCCTTTTTCATCTTACATAACAATTTTTTGCTTTTTTTTCATATATTTTTATTATTAAATTTTACTTCATTTTTATTTTCTCTTTGGCTATCAAATTTTTTTATTAATATTTTTTGCATATCAATTAATTCACTGAACAATTACTAAATTAAATTAATCGTTTGGTTATAATGTATCATCTTAAAATTAAATAATTAAACGATATGTAAATTAATAAAATATAACATATATTTTTATTTTTGAAATTTTAACATTTATACAACAATCATTTAATACCCATTTCATCGTAACTCAATCGATAAAATGGAGAGGGAATACAATGAAATATTTACCACCACAGGGAAGAATTAATTCGTTTTATAGAGCATGGAAAGAGGGATATCTGAGAAGAATGCAAATATTATTTTGGAAATATGGAAACCTATATTCCAAAATATAGAAGAGGGAAAATTATTAATATAAATTTTCTTATTATATATACACACATCGTAATTGTAATGAAATAATTTGATATACAAAAAATTTGATTGTAAAAAATAAAAATTAAGTTACATTTTAAAAATAAAAATATAAGGAGAAAAAAGTAAAAATTGTAAGCAATATGAAAAAAGAGAAAAAAAATTAAAAATAAAATGTTGAAAAACTAATAATTTAATAAATAGTAAAAAAAAAATTAACGATTTTCCTTTTTGAATTGAAATTTTCTTCATTTGATTGACACTTTTCCTTTTTTGATCGGACTTCCTTTTTTAGATTGGACTTGCCCTTTTTGGAGGGAAACCCAGTATATAATATGTATAAATTTTTATCGAATTGAAAGGGGTCTGCCGAAAATCTTAATCTTCTTCATGGAATGATCCCTATTCCACCGGGAATTCGGCTAAAATTTTGAATAATATTAGCATTTTAAACTGTACTCACATTTAATCGCATCAAGTCGGGCTTTTTAAAAAAAGTCGGATCGTTGTCGAGCCTTAAATATATTCCTAAAAACGAAAATAGGAAATAATGTCTTTGCTTCTTTTATTAAAATAAAATTTCTCTGGGATCATGACAAACAATTAGTGATTATTTTTTTTAGTTATTTAGTAAAACGCGTTTAATTTAACATTTTCAATTAAGAAATATCGAGACGGGTTTGAACCTAAAAATGAATTAAAAATTTCGGGTTGGTCTTTAGCCCGAAAAAAGCCCGTAAAAATTAAAATTCAGGCCTCTACTATATAATATATTTATAAATTATCGAGACAAATAATAACCAATTACTTTGATATTTAGGACACGTGATAATGGACGAAAAAATCAACGAACTTAACAAGCAGATTAAGCAGGACATGGCTAATTATGATTATATGAAGGTTTTTTGAAATTTTTGTTGCTTATCATTTTAAATTTTATTTACAATTACTTAATCTTGGCTTAATTAATTTGTTGTCAGGTGGAACTAGTTATTTTTTTAAACTCTAATATATGTATTCATGCTGAAAATTATTAATATATATGGTGAATTCCATATCAAATCAACAAAAAAAAGTCGATTTCCAACCCGACCCCCTTTAATTTTTCTTAAATTTTGTATACTGGTAGTATATACTATAACTAAGAAAAAAATGAAATTTTACCTTCCAACACTGTTTACCCGCTAAGATATGGCCGTTTAAAGCGCGGAAAAATGGTACATTTTTGACAAAATGCACCTCATTTATTTTCAAATATCTCGAGAAATAATTAAATTAGAATAATAATTTAAATTTTATTTTGTAGCTTAATAAAAGTTCTTTAAAATGACATAAAAATAAATATGATGGGCATTTTACCGCATGTGTAAAACAGGAAATGGCAATAGAAAAAAAGGTATTTTTTTCTGTAGATAGATATCACATTGCTTTATATTTGTACAAAATCCTAGACTGGGATCAACATGGGTTTAGGAGTTATCACTCTTTATATGGCGAAAATTGAACAAATTTAACATCAATATCATCATATTTTAATTTAATGAATAGTTATGAAATAATGTTAATTTAATGAATAGTTATGAAATAATGTTAATTTAAAAATTATGTCTAAATGATAGGCCCTTACTTTTTTTTATCTTTATAAAAAAAATTTGAGAGGTGGCTGGGATAATGAGCTGTTTAAAACTAGTTAAATTTTATCTCGAAATTAAAATTACTTGACAAAATAATTTTATATATTTTATTTAGCATAAAATAATCTACCAAAATTGAAATTCAACAATAAGTTTTCCCCCATATATTCAAAATTAAAAGAAAGGCTTAATATATTATTTGACGAGAATTCTATAGATTATAAAACATTCAAACAATGGATAGCAGTTTATCGAACTACCCTCAAATCACTGACAAAATCCGCTGACGAATTTGTAGATTATTTAATTGAATAATTAAACAATTTAATTCCTCATTTGTTTATAGCTTCACGATAATCATTAATTCGAAACTTTTTAAAATTTAATTTAAATGTTGGCTTGCAGACTTTTCAGAAAACTATGCATTTGTAGTGCAGAACCATACACAAGGATTTGATCAGACCAATAATCAAGCCACTATTAACTCTTTTATAATCGTGAGAACAACATAATAAAACGTTTAGTGGTTATATCAGATTGTTTAAAGCACAACGCATGTGGATTTTATTTATTTTAAAAATTGATCGTATTCTTGAAGGAAAGATTTAATAGAGTGGCTAAAATTTATTATTTTTCTGATGGAGCAATAATCAATATAAAAATAATAGATTTAATTAATCTCTACAATCATGAAAATGATTTTGGGATAAAGGCTGAGTGACATTTTTTGAAACCGCACAAGGTAAAAGTCCATGCGACATTTTGGGGGCCGTAGCTAAACAGTTAGAGCAAGCTTGCAACGTCCATATGAACATCACATATTGACAACAATAGATTTATTTAACTATGCAAGAAATAATATCTATGGGTAAATTATATATTTGTGAGCAATAATGAATATATGAACATAGAAAGTCATCTTGAAAGCAGATTTTTGAGAGCAAAAGAATTTATAACACAAAGTTCCAAGCTTTTATTCCCCTAGACGAAAACAAAAGTCATAATTTATTAAAATTCCTTGGATGATTATAATATATGATATATTTTAATTATAAATTTTTGATTGTATTATATGTCAATTTGAGGCAAATAAAGTTATAAATATTTTTAGAATTATTTTGTCAAGTAACTTTAAGACAAAATTTAACTAAAGTGTTAAACAAAGCTTATTATTCCAGCCACTTCTCAAAAATTTTGATAACGATTTTAAAAAAAGTAAGGGCCTGTCATTTAGACATAATTTTTAAATTAACATTATTTCATAACTATTCATTAAATTAAAATATGATGATATAAATGTTAAATTTGTTCAATTTTAGCCATATAAAGAGGATAACTCCTAAACCCATGTTGATCCCAGTCTAGGATTTTGTACAAATATAAAGCAATGTAATATCTATCTACAGAAAAAAAAATTTGAAAAAATACCTTTTTTTTCTATGGCCATTTCCGGTTTTCGATATTAATAAAATGTACATCATATTTATTTTTATGTCATTTTAAAGAACATAAGCTACAAAATAAATTTTAAATTATTTTTCTAACTTAATTATTTCTCGAGATATTTGAAAATAAATGAGGTGCATTTTGTCAAAAATGTACCATTTTTCCTCGCTTTAAACGGCCATATCTTAGCGGGTAAATAGTGTTGGAAGGTAAAGTTTTATTTTTTTTCTTAGTTATAGTATATACTACCAGTATACAAAATTTAAGAAAAATTGAAGGGGGTTGGGTTGAAACCTTGGTTGGTTTAATATGGAATTCACCATATCTTTATTTTAATGTTCCCATTCCTGCCAAAAAGTTTGCTCCTTTCTAAGCTTTGGAACCCTCAGGAACACCTTCCTGAAAAAATATCTATATTTATTTTTAATACACAAAATTGTATACATATTAATCCTTATAATATTAATCAATTATTGCTACATTGTGGGAGGGTGGTTGTAAATAAATTTGATGTCAAAAAAATACTTGGTTTATTTTAAACATAGATTCGTTGATCTTAAAAAAAATCTGTATTGTTGTTTTGAAATTCAAAAAGTTAAGGAACCGATCCAAAGATTTCTAATGCATTTGTGGTGATGGGGACAAACATTACGCACTTTATATCAAAATATTTGATTTTTAATAAGGGTGTACCAATACCACTTTTTTGAAGGCCGATCCGATATTAAATTATCGACCGATTACCAATCCAATATCATTTTATTTTGATCTGCTAATCGTTTTAATTTTTAATACATATAACTAGTGTTGATTTTTAAAAACATCTAAATCAGTTTTTTATCCAAAAAATATTACGCAAGCCTGAAGATTTTGCTCATAGATGGCACAAAGTTTTGCCCTATTAGTGAAATCTCGAGGCTTAGGTAATATTTTCCTGGCTAAAATATTGAGTTAGCTGTTTTTAAAAATCGGCATGAATGGAGCTATTTTGCATCACTATATACATCTACTCATCTCATTTTAATAGTATAACATCTATAACTTAGCTATATTATAGCATAAGTCATTTAAATATATTATAGTGATCTGTTAAAGTTTTATTCATGAATTTAAAAGTATAAAAAATATTTTTATTGATAAATAACTTATATTTATAATAACATTATTTAATAAGTAATAAACAATATATTATGAAATTTGAGATAAATTTTTTAAGACGCCATTTTATCGGATCAGATTGGGAAATTTGATAATATCTGCCGATAACCGATATTTAAATAGGTGAAGTATCGGCCCGATCCGATTTATCGGTACATTCCTATTTTTTAAGAATTCAGAATGAACTCATATCTGATGAGAAGAGATTTCAGATTTATTCTCGGTTTGTAGTTCCAGTATCAGATTATAAACTGGTAATAATTTACAAATTAAGCAAAATCTCCAAAAAAAATATCAGAGTTGGGTAGATTCTAAAGGCAGAAAATCAATGAGTAAAATGGGTATTATGGTGTAGGATTATCAGGCTCTCTTCCATATTTTTTATATACTATCACTACTATCTTTTATTAGGATTTCACTTAAATGTGAAAGCCTTTTATACCAAATAAAATTAATTTTTTAGTACATGGCTACAACATTGGTTGAACATAGCATAATTCCATACACACCTCCAATGTGTGTTGGTTAGTGATATGAGATGGCCCGACATTTCTTTATAAATATATTTTTTCTAAACTAATAATAAGGACTAAGGCCTGATATGGAGCTAGGGTTACTCTATATGAGTTGGTTGTAGTTAAATTTTTTTAAAAAAATTGTGATTTTTAAATTTTTTGATGCAAACATAAATTCCTATTTGATTTAAGTTAGAAGATAATACACAAAATATGATTCTTTATATATTTTATATTACATCAAAAGTTTTGCCTAGAGCACTCTACTTTAGTGACCCAAGAAATATACCCCACTGTTTTGGATACAATGATCTACTCCAAAAATCAGACAGATTGCATTGAAGCGATATCTTTTCTCGTCACTGGTTTAAAGCTGAAAATTCATCGTCTAGGGATGTTGGGAATTAAGGCGTGTTTAAATCACCTCTCATATTCTGGCAGCAACTCTAATAGTTACTTACATTTATTATGCAATGAATAATAAATTTTTATGTTTTAATTTTATAATTTTTTACTTCTTTACGATGAAAATTACTTGGATATGATTTTTAACTTTCTTTCTTTAAGTTGTTCTATATATTTTTAAGATTTCGTGTATTTCATAGAAAATTAGTATTTTTATAAGATTTAATCATTTTTAATTATGTTTAAAAAAATTAATTTAGGGACGAGTCCTCCAAATTTTTAGATATTATATTATCATTTTTTAAATATCAAGTGCAAAATAATACCAACACTGACAGTATTAAAGAGAAGGTTGTCAATACTTTTGCTAATTTATTTTTTGCCGCAACCGAGCCCAAATCAGAGCAGGATAACGATTGCGAAATAGATAACGACAACCGATGGTCAAAGAAAAGCAACAACAAGTAAAAGTATTTTATTCCATACATGATGCGTAATTTATTTTTTATTATTGATATTCGGTTCAATCTTAATGCGAGTGTGAAAGTCACCTAAGCCTTGAAGCAATAGTTAAAACTTGGCCTCCCTGCCTAATTAAATTTCAACCAAAAATGTTATAACAGGTATTAAAAAATCGCTCTATTTTATGTTGACTCGATAAATGGTTATAGTTTTTATTCGAAAAATGTCACCTCTACCTCAAGTTTTCACCTTAAAGATAACTCAATTTTGAGGAAGGAACTAATGTTTTTTAACTTATGCCTAGTTTTAGCCAAATCGGACATCAAATTATCCTATTTAGTTAGGATGTACCGATATTTTTTATCGGATCGTATCTGGCCTTTTATAGTCAAAACAATCGGTTACTTTATTTTAAATTGTTTCCTATATACAGTCTTGTTAACGCTCCTTTTTAAAAGTAGCGACTCCCGCTCCTACCTTCTCAAAAGGAGCAAACTCCCGCTACTACATATTAAAAGGAGCGCTCCCGCTCCAACTAATGGAGTGCCGCTCCATAACCGCTCCTTTGATTTTCATTTTTTTAGAAGGTACACGAAACAAAATCATATTTTTTTATCAAAACGTTTTATTTATATTATAATTAAATGATATATCAAAATATTTATAATCTTTTATTAGCTTTTAAAAGTAATAAATTTTCTAAGTGCTTCTTCCCTAAGACCTGTTTTGCGATACTAAATAGGCTGCTATCATTATTTAAAAAATATCTATCCAATATATTATTTTCATGGTAATCGATTTCATGGAATCCAAAGAAATCTTCAAAATCATTACAAGGTTCCCGTGAACTAGTTGTAGCTATTTTTCCGTCGGGTATTTGTTTCCTTAAAAAATTAATTAATCTGGCTTTTAGTTCCATATTTTTTGGATCTTTTATCCATTCCCAATTCAATTTAAATGCAGGATGGACAATCGCTGCAATTATATTATCATCATTATAAATATTTGGAAATCTGCAATAAGGTTATTTAAATAGATATAATTTATGTTTTATTATAAACCTTTTATTAATACCTCTGATGAGAGACTTTACAAGAGCTTGGCAAAACTCTAAATCTGATAATTCATTTAATTTTGAAATGAGTTTAAAAATGGTAGGACTTAGGAAACCCATGTCCATATGAAGCTCCCCTTCAAGGATTTTCAGAACTTTTTTCATAGGTTCCATAACCTAAAATTTATTTATATCACTAAGATAACGATTATATTAATATTTACTTGACTATACTCTTTAATAAATTTACGTTCTTGGGAGTTAAAACGTATAAGCCCATGGTTATCACACAACTCATCAAGGTCCTTTGGTTTTTCATCTAACATTTTATCTAGCAAAACCATAGACTCATAATACGAATTCCACCTAGTGGAATTTGGGCATATTAGATTCCTACCCAACTTTCTGATAATTTCGTCCGCCATATTTGTAGACATATTTTGTTTATTCCACAAAGATTGACACTTTTGGAATAAACTTTGAGATACTATTTGAAAGCTTCTATCCCCTAAAGCTTTCTCTATGGTGGAAATGGAAATTCGGTTTCTTCTTCTATAATCTCTAAATCCATAATATCTAAAACTATTTTTTATTATATATCTATAAAATGAATATTAATATGACTTACAAGATTTTTCAATATAAAAAGGAAAAACTGATGTTTAATGTTTCAAATGATTAGATGAAAAATCAATATAAAACTCGGCTCAACATTTAATAATGAATAAATTTAAATAAAATAAAATTTTATTTTCATTAAATTTTAATTAACAAATATTATTAATATTTAAAAAATAATATAATTTATATATTAAATTTAAAGGAGAGGAGGAGCCAGCCCTAAAAGGAGCTACTCCCGCTCCCGCTCCTCATTTTTAAAAAGGAGGGGCGCTCCAGCTTTTTTTGAAAAAATGTAGCGGCGCTCCTGAGCGCCGCTCCTTAACAAGACTGCCTATATATATAGTATTTTATAATTATGTCATTTAATTTCTAATAATATGCAATTACATTGACCTCCATAAGATATTATTAAATGTAGGAAAGTTATAATAATATATTATACAAATAACGTAACTTTTTATAATATATAATGTAACCTTTAAAATATATAAGATATTCAAATATAACATATCTTCTTTCCCACCAAGTTAAGATCGTCTATCAATCTTTTTATTTACCAAGTTTAAGTTCATCTATTAATCTTTTTGTTGGCTTTCATTCCCTTGTTGGATATCGGGATTGCCTTCCTTTTTGACTTGGTTCAATTGTTTCTACTGTTTTAGCTTCTCCTAACTTTATATTGTTATTTGTTATTATTGATTTGGTTTCAACTGGTTCTTCCCTTATTCGTAGTTGGTCTGCATGTTTTCGTACTATTTTATCTTTTTCTTTTACGTTATACGAGAATTTTGCTTGTTGATTTATTATTTTTCCTTCATGCCATCCTTTTTCAAGTGGGGTTTTTATCCAAACTAATTCGTTTTCTCCAGAATATCTATGTAGGCCTTTGTTTAACTTGTCGGGTTTTACTAAAGAGGTTTCTAATTTTTCAGTAATTGAAGGTTTCACCCAGTCCAATAAAGTATTTAGCCTTCTCCCCATAAATAGTTTGGCAGGTATTCGGCCCGGTGAAGAGTGTTTGGAATTTCTATACGCAAATAATACTTCATTTAGGCATTTTTCCCCTTGTTTGTTCTCTATTTGCGAAATACCGATTTTTGAAAGTTTGTATGCATCTTTCTACTAATCCATTACTTCTCGGATGGTATGGTGTAGTTTTTATATGTTGTATAATTCTTCTTTTTACACCATTTATAAAATTCATTTGAAATAAATTGTGGACCATTGTCCATGACAATTTGACGTGGAATACCATATTGGATAAGCCATTTTTCTAATCTATTTATTAAATTTTTACTTGTTGTATCTTTGATTCTATTGATCTCTATCCATTTTGAATATGCATCGATTCCTACCAGCCAATAAAATCCGTCCAGGTATACAGCAACTCTTGATATATCTCTGCGATGTTTTTGACACCCAATACAGCGGTTAACTAATTTTTCGACATCTTTATCTAATTGTTCCCACCATATATAATGTCTCGTAATGGATTTCATTGATGTAATACCCGGATGTCTTGTATGTAATATCTGTAAAACTCGTTTTTGTAGTGAGTAAGGAATGATTAATCGACCATTCCAAAATAAAATACCGTCATCATTTTCTATTTCATCTATTCTTGTTCTAGTAGCTTGTAATTCTGGTGCTTGATTTTGTATATTTATAATATTTATTAATATTTTTACTCTTCTTAAAATTGGATCCTTCGCAGTTTCATCTCTAAGTTCTTTTCTTAATAGAGTTAATGTGTCATAAGTAAGATTTCATATATATTTCACTGTTTTATTTTCGCTTGTTATTTTATCATCATTTTTCTCTATTGGGTTTCGCGATAATGCATCTGCAATTACCATTCTTGTATATTATATAATTATCATATGCCGATAATTTATAAGCCCAGCGTAATAATCTTTGGTTTGTTAAGGAGCTTAAATCTCTGTTTTCACCATATATTTTTATTAACGGTTTGTGGTCCATTCGTATTTTAAATTTTCGTCCATACCAATAGTTATGAAATTTTTCTACACCGTTTACTATGGCTTTGGCTTTGTCGAATAATTCTTTTCACCATCTTGTAAAGTTCTCGAGGTGTAAGCTATTGGGTATTCGTTACCATTATCATATTTTTGCATGAGTACAGCTCCAAAATCCTTGGTTAGATGCATCTGTTTCTAGTATTAACTCAAGATCCGGTTTAAAACTGTATAGTATTTTGTTATATTACTATTCCTTTTGCTTTTTCAAATAATGCATCATCTTTTTTAGTCCATTTCCATTTAACATTTTTACAAGTTTTATTATGTAATTCAGCTATGATTCCATGTAAGTTTGGTATGAACCGTGTATAATAATTTAATATACCTAAAAATGATTTTATGTCATGTCTATCTTTTGGAGTTGGATATTTTTTTATTTCTATTATTTTATTTTTATCTGGGTATATTCCATTTTTATCTATTATGTATCCTAAATATGATACTTTTTCTTTCATAAAATTTATTTCACTTGTTTTGACTTTTAATCCCGCATTTTGTAATTTTTTGAGGACTTGTTTTATATTCTCTATATGTTCAGTATCATTTTTCCCTGTGATTATAACATAATCTAAATAAACTGCTGTATCTTTACAATCAGCCAGTAAATGGTCCATTTATCGTTGAAATATTATTGGGGCTGTAACTATACCAAAAAGTAATCGTAAATAGCGGTAGTATCCATTTGGTGTTACCATTGTTAATAATTCTTGCTATTCATCTTCAATGCTCATTTGTAGATATGCATCTTTGAGATCTAATGTTGTATATTTATTTCCATTAGCAATTTTTACGATTAATACTTCAAACATTGGTAGAATGTGATAGTCTTTTAGTAGAAATTTATTTAATGTTACTTTGAAATCTCCACATAATCGTGGTTCACCTGAAGTTTTACGTACCACTACCATTGGAGTAATCCAGGTTACTCTTGTTGTTGATGGATCTATTTTCTTTATTATATTATTTTCTTCCAAACGTTTCATTTCAATTTTAAAGGCAACAGTGCTCTTCTAGCTGGCAGTGCAATTGGTTTTGTATTTTCTTCCAATTGTAGTTACTGGTTTGACTTTTTTATTAATCCTAATTTATTATCAAACACTAGCGAATTCTTCATATAGTTTGTCAATATTCACGTTACCATTATCATTATATTTATATCTATTGTTGATCATATTGATTTTTACATTTGTTGGTAATGATAAGTCAAATTCTATAATCAACGGAAATCCAAAGAGGGCTGCTTCATTTGTTTTTGTAACTAATAACGGAAACCATTTTATTTTATCATCTTATTGCACTTTTACATAAGCTTCGCCCATAATTTTTATTCTATTATTTCCATATGTAGTTGGAGCTTTAGCCATTCTAAGTTTTGGCCTCCCAATTTTATTTCATATTGTTGCATTAATAATGTTTACTGCTGAACCCGTATCATATTCCATTTTAATTTCGTGGTTGTTTATTAATACCGTAATTGTTGGGTGCTGTCCATATTTGTAGATTTTTCTTATTGAGAAATCTGAATCGTCGTCATTATTATTGTAATTTGTATCGTAAATTTTTTCTCTAGTTTTACAACACACCGCAAAGTGGTTTGGTTTCTTACATTTGCTGCACATTTTTCCGTATGCTGGACAATTTATAATAGCATGAAACCGATTACAAAAATAGCACGGTTTTCTCGTATTATTATTATTATTTGTGTGGTAGTTATTATACCCTTGCACTGGTTCTCTTTTTACATATGTTTTATTATCATTATAGTGCCGTTTATCATTATTATTATACTGCCGATTATTTTTATCATTTTGATTTAATCGTTTATTATTATCATTTTGTTTATTCGTCTCTTTGATTTTATAAACCATTTTAGTAGTATTATTATTTCTAAGTCAGCCCGTTCCATCGCTAAAGCCATTTCTACAACTTTGTTTAAGCTTAACGGTTGGTCTTCGTCTTTAGTATCTGGGTATCTTAAACGTAGTTCTTTATCTAGTTGTGACATCTTTAGTCCGGCGATTAATTGAGCGCGAATTCTTAGTTCTACATTATCTTCAAAATCGCATCTTCGGGCTAGCTCCTTTATATTTTTTAAATAGCTCATTACGGATTCAGTAGGGCCACGACTTAATCTAATGAAATCAATTCAAGATGCCAAAACAGTTCTTTCATCTTTATAAAGTTGTTTTGCAATTTTGTATATGTCTGTCCATCCTACATCCTCCATTTTCCTAGGATAGAGTAATTTTTTTATATCAGTTATAATATTTATTCCTCCATAAGCTAAATATTTTTTTTTAAGTGGCGTCTGTTTGAGGAATATTTTTCACATTCAGTATGTATTTTATATAATCAATGTAGTCATTGAGAACAATCTTCTTTTTTATAATCCTGTAAAACTATTTTATCCATAATTTCTAAAATATATTATTTATTTATTTTTATAAACAGGAAATTTTTTTTTATAATTCTATATTATTATTAAACTTGACCGAAAACCGCGCGACTTTTTTTATTTAACTCGTCGCCATTTTTTATAGTCAAAACAATCAGTTACTTTATTTTAAATTGTTACCTATATATATAGTATTTTATTTATGTCATTTAACTTCTAATAATATGCAATTACATTGATCTCCATAAGATATTATTAAATGTAGGAAAGTTATAATAATATATTATACAAATAACGTAACCTTTTAAAATATAAAACATAACCTTTAAATTATATAGGATATTCAAATATAACATGGCAGATATTTCATCCATTTTAAAATATCGGTTATCGACCAATATTATAAAATTTTCCGATCCGATACGATATAAAATGACGTCTTTACAAAAATAAAAATTTTAAAAAAAGTTATATCTAAAATCATTTATTTTTATGAATAAAATCGAATTTTTATGTATATTTTTTTAATAATAATAATTAATGATCATTCTGTCCTATTGTTATTTTTTTTGCACATTCGGTTTATAAAAGTGTGCGATAATTTCATCAGAAATTGTTTTTAGTGAAGCTGGTGATATTGACAGTTACCATAGCTGCAGGCTGACCTCTGGTAAATTGGAAATTTTGGTATTTCTAAAAAGAAATCTTCGATATATTAATGTTAAATATTATTTTAAATATTTATTTCAAATTTCATAATATATTTATTTATTACTTATTATATAAAAGTGATTTAACAATAAAGATATTTTATATACTTTTAGTATTGCAATTGAATTGAATATAAAATATAACTAATCATGAAATAAGTTATGGTATAGTTAAATTATAGATGTTATACTAATAAAAAGTATATTAAAAATTAAAACCATTGGTATCTTTACAGAATACAAAATTTGATATGATATCGGATCAGGCTCCAAAAAGTGGTATCGGTACACCTCTACTATTTAGGATATATGAACTTGCTTTGTTAATTATTTTTTCATAAAAAAAAGGTTATATTACATTTATAAACATGATAGTTTAGGGGTCTGGACGCGAATTTTTTTGGGCAACCAAAATTAAAATAAAAATACATTTTATTTTGCTTTTGGTTGAGTAAAAATTTTTCGCTTTTGTTAGAATAATATAGTACTTAACGCATTTTTTCTCTTCAAACCATCTTATAAAAATATTATTAAATTTAGAACCGCTCCTAGCAAGGACATTCTGAATAACTTTTTGGACTTTCTCGAACACCTGGATGACAACGAAATGATATCCTTTGAAGAATTGGTTAGTTTTTAGTATATAATATTTATATTTTATTTCTACCCATTAGGTCAAAGAATTTCTGAAACTAGAACTATTTCCCAATGACTTTCCATCCCTGCTCATGCAAAAATCTAAAATGATATCCAATAACCTAAAACGTCATAATCCCCTACAAGATGTTGAACAAAGCAATTATTCTAATGATAAAACCTTGCTCAACACTACCACCAAAGTGGAATATTCCCGATTGATAAATACCTTTAAATCGCTCATAGAATTTATTAGAATGTTGGAGTTGGGCTCACAAGATATTGATAACAGTTTGTGTTGGAACAACATGGAAACATTAATTCACCTAGGATTGGATGACTACAATGAAATAGATAGACCTGATACAGATGACAATGGAACTAACGTTCTCAATCGGGCAAGAATTTTGTGCACAGCTATGATCAAATTAAGAAGGGAAACTAAGGTATTTATTTATAAGTCTCTTATTGGTATTTAATTTGGGCATCTCCAAAATATGTACAATCTGTTCCCGAGATTATTCTCGATATTCTTTTCCTTTGTTTTTATAATTTAAATGAAATTCTTCTATGTACAAGGTCATAAACTTTTTTAAATTCTAGAATAATCGTTTATCATTCTAATTTATCTACTCCCTATGAGTATGACATATAAACATGTAAATACCTCTAAAATTTTCTTTGTAATAAAAATGAAATATCCTTATCTGCCAATATTATAAAATAAATTGAGAAAAATAATCTCTTTCATCATTTAGATATATTTTTAATATTCATATAATATTATTGATATGTATTGAATTGTTATTTTGTATTTTTTGTAACATGTTTATTTTCATTATTATATTATCATATGAATTTGAATAAGAGAAAAAGAACATATTATATTGATACGAAATAAAAGAAAAAGAATTTCAAGAATTATTAGTTGACTTATATTTCTATTACTACTTACAATACATTACAATTATTATATTTTCTTCTTAGATCTTAGAAGGCAAAGTAATCTGCAAGGCACGGCGATTGCCCACAACCCATATTATGTTTACCAAAATGATTAATTTACTCATTTCAAGTAGAAAATAATTTATTTTTGTATACTTTTTAATATGCATTCATATGATTTAACTATCCTCATATTGCTACTCAAGAGGCGGTGGTATTTTGTATTATAAAATTCCTAAACCTATTATTGTTTCCCAAATATTTTATACATTTCACATATCATTATCAAGATTATATTTAAATTAAATTGTATAGGATCTTGCAATTAAAGTGAAATATTTAATAAAAAACTTTCTCATTAAATAAAAATACTTAATTAATTAACATCAAATATGTTTTTTATACATTTATATTATAAATTGGGAAAAGTCGATCCTTTACATTAAAAAGCGCGACATCTGGTCTTTTAAATTAAGACGTTCATTACTTGTACGAAGGAGAGAGAAAGCTTTTGGAATTTTGAAAAAAATGGCCAATTCTATAGGATTTGAAAAAGAAACAATTTTGCTTTGGTTTAGATGTCTTTATTTTGTTTTTAAATATCAAAAAATTGTTTTAGTTCTCCTTTATAGGAAGTCTTTGTCATTTTGATCTAGAGATATAGGATCGTCCTAATATTCTAATTTACGATAGCTATAAATAACTGTATTAAGTTTTAATTAGAGGGAGACTAGATACTTTAATTTGATTGTCTATTTGTAATATACACATAAATAATTTTTTTTAAACTTAGTAACATTAATCCCTTCCTAACAGGAATCTCATTCCTTTCGAATTGTTCATACTGAATTTTCGTGGCCCAAAAGTTCACTTTGGCATACTTAAAAAAAATTCTGATAGGATTGGACCCTATTTTTAAGTCGGGTATTTAGAATTGCACATGTAAAAAATAAATCGCTCTTTGGATTAAAAAAAATTGGGAGTGCTCTACTTTATGTATAGCGTGTAGTAAACAAGATTTTGTACCTAAAAATAAAAGAAAATTAAATACAAATTCTAATTTCTTTATTAAAATATATAAAAATTAATCAATTATAAATTAACATAAAAGGAAAAATTAAAAGAAAAATAATATAAGAAAAAGTAAAAAATTTTAGAAATTATTTGTGTAAAATAAAAAAGTGGATAACTTTAATTGTTAAACACTTAAAGTATGAAATATATTTATCACGCGTTTTCATCTCATTTACATAGACTGGGATCTAAATAATAACTTAATAATTTTAATAAAACATTATATTTGTTTGAATATTATCATAATTTGAATAATGCATTTTTTTTGTATCGCAATAATACAACATAGCGTTTGCCAAAAAATTTTGAACTCATTTGCATATTTAATTTATGATTTCATTTTAAAAAAATATTGCCTTTTTAAGAATTCGACACTGAGACGGAAAAGAATGATTACTGGAGTCCATTAGCTCAGGTTGTTATTGAATTAATATATTCCTTGTGCGAAAATCCCGAATTTTTATGTCACAAAATATTGTCAACCTTAACGGTCATATATTTTCCCAAGAGGAATGGCGAAATTATAATTAAAGGTTTACTTATTTTTAATGAAATATTATACCATATATGGTGAAATTTTCACAGACAGTTTTAATAAGTATTTATTATATTTTTTCTATAGACGAACCAATATCTCTTTATTAAGTCTACCCTTCCAAGGGGCGGACGATGCTGCAACCTCGAGGTCATTTTTTATAGCGGCCTTATTCCCCATACCCCCATTTAACGGGTTTTCAGCCAGCTTTTGCCCTGCCTTTGGCCAGATTCTCTTAAATGGCTTCCTTGAATTCATGATTTTTATTACTTCTTATTTTTGAAAATAAGTTCAAACGATTTACATTTTATAAAAATAAAATAGTATGACACAATAATCATATATTTTATTTTTTAAAATTGCATATATTAAAAAATATTCATTGCACAATTTTATATTAGATTTACAACAATATCGAACTATAAAATCAAATCATACATCACATATTAAATATAAAATCAATTAATTACACATAAAATATTTGCAATTATACAATATTGCACAGAGAATAAAATTGCTGCACTTATAAAATCAGACACTGATCATATTGTAAATAGATTTAAATAAAAGCATTAAGATAATATATAATTTTTACATTAATAAATCTCTCATTTAAACCTTTGCGCAAATAAACAAGAATATCTTCTAATTCAATCTGCGCTAATAGTTCTCGTTCAACTGACATCATTAAAAACGCTTTTAATTATTCTTGGCCTATATTGGCTCTCTGCCTATTTTTTATAATTTTTAATTAAATGTTCTCTCACAATTAACCTGCGTAAATGACAAAGTTAAAATGTATTCATATGCTAAAATTAAATTAGTGCATGCACACACATTTTAAACAATGTTACATTTATTATCACACTCTGAGCTATTATATTGTAATATTCCATCTTCTTCATTTGACTACTCACTTGTACATACGACACCATTGTCCTTTTCATTTAATTCTTAAATCTTTGAATACACTGACAAATGAACACCATTTGTTACGTAATTTAACACTCATATATTTGCCAATTGTGCCAGTTTTTCCAAGGCCTTTTTAGAAATAGCTTTAATTTTTAGGCTGTAAAGTAACGTTAAAAAAGTAATGCCGTTACTATCTTCGTTACCTTCTTCTAGAGGTAACGGTAACGCGTTTCTATTTTTGAGTAACGGTAACGCAAAACGTTACTCGTTACTTTAAATTTTTTCTTAAAATATATTTTTAAAATAAAACATATTTTATTGTACTATAAAATTAATTTTATTTTTTTTTAATATAAATAATTTAAGTCGAGTTTTTAATACATATTAACTACCATTCCTTCATTTTTATTTAAAATCGTTAAATTTTCAGTCAAATGTTAATCTAATTAATATTCAATCAAAATTCAAAGTAAATGTTAAGAATATTATGTCCATTAGTGATCTGCATCGGGGCTAATTTTTCAAGCCCAGCCCGAAATTTTTTAAATATATAAATTATTTTTATAATACTCAAAATAAAAGACATATGTTATATGGCGTTTAGTTTCAATAAATAAAATCAAAATTTTTTATTTTACATAAAAAATTCAATATAAAATTGATAGATATATTTTAAAAAAATTTTAAAATCCGACCTGACCTGGCCCGAGTTTTTGGGTTATATAATGAGTTGCAGTAAAGTAAATATTTCCAAAATTATCATTTATAATTTAGTTTAATCTTCTGTATTGATCTGTCCACATATCGAATGTAATTGAGCAATTTTGGCCCTAAATTAATTTGTTCTTGATTCTTGTAGATATGCATTCATTGATAAATAAACATAATTAAGAGCAGTACGGCTTAGTGTTGTCCTATCTGGCAAATCAGAATTGATAACTTGATATTTCTAAAATAAGTATTTTGAAATTTATAACAGAAAAACATTTATCTATAATTCATATTAGACAACAAATTAGGGAGAATTTATCAAGAAGAAATAAATTTGTTAAAAATTTATTCTGGGTTGTATAGCTACACAGAAACAGAGATGATTAGGACAAATGAATATGCAATCCTATATTATTTAAATCATTCATGTGTGTAATCATATTGTTTAAAATACTGAAATTCAACTATTGTAAACCTTCCTCAGCAGCAAATGCTATTTCAATACAACAAAAAAGACATAAAGGTAAATCTAATATAGATAAATATATCAATTTTTTTATAAATTTGATACTTCCAAAAAAAATTTTCATTCCAATATTATCAATTGATTGAAAATGTAATAAGTCAGCACAAAATAATAACAGATAGTTTCTTGCTAGCAATCATTTTTAAAGGTTTTAAAATTTGTCTGGAATTTTGGTTTGGATATAAAATATTTTTTTAAATTTTGCGATTTTGATGAAGTATCTTTATGATCAGAAGTTAAGTGTTTTAACAAATTTCCTATGCTAATTTTGATTGAAAAGTTTTGAATTTTATAGCTAGATTATATTTTACAAAACCTATATTTTAATTTATTAAAGATTTGGCTTAAATATCAGAAAATAATATTTTAAAAAAATATACTGTGAAAATGGTTTATTTGAATCATCATCGTCTACAATAGCCTTTTCTAAGCAACAATTACAGTAAAATTTGTGAGAATTTATGGAAATTGTTTTATTATCACTTTTTAAGTGTAGAACAAATGATTTTTTTAAATTATTTGCTGTTATAATACTAAAATTATTTATAGATTTATTAGCATCCATTTTAAAAAATGTGTAAAATTATGGTAACCTGGAATTGATTGATTGAATTCTATAATAACGTGAATATAATTATGATTTTAAAATATGTTGAAAATAAAAATTCATCAAATCCTGTTTGACATTAAATAAATTACAACAGTGATGTTGACTAATTATTAATATAAAAGGTATAAAATATTTTATAAGAATCCTGCCCCGGCCGTGCACCGCTTATATGAAAATCGGCGGCTTGCCGGCTTGATTTTCATAAATGGGTTTTCAGCGTAAAAAAGTCAGCGGCCAGCCAACATCCGGCCGGCGCACAGGTCTACTTGGATAGAAATATTGCACATAACATATAATAAGTTGTTTACTCTTGACTTTTTACATACATCTCAATTCAATGATCTTATAAATAAGTGTAAAAATCTCTATACACATAGGCGTAGCAGGGGGGGCAAGGGAAAATCCCCCCTTCAGAAATTTATCACTTTTTGTGAATATCATTTTAAGCTAATAAAAAATACCCCCCTTAGTCCTCCCCCCACTCCCTGACCCCCAAAAATATATGCATATATCTTAAACAATTTGAAAGAAAGAATGTAAAAGTTGATATTTTTTTATAAAACTATTCATCATAATTTATATTTTTAGAGAAAACTATAAAATATTTATAAGTACATCAGAAAATATCTTTTAAAGACATTGTAAAATAAATAATATGAAGATTCTTTTTAATATTATTATTTAAAATAAATAGATGGCGTTAAATAATTGAATGCAAATTATTGCTATATTTATTATTAAGAGCATTGATTAGTAAAATTTGTTAAAATATTAACTGTAGTATACTCTAACTGTAAAATATGTCTGTAAAAGTGGAATTTTACCTAGTATTTTGTAACCAATTCTATATAATAGGGAATATCAACTATATTTCTACTTACTTTTTATAAAGAAATTTCTTATACTTGTTTGGAATAAATTATTACCATTCTTTTATATAAATGTATATACAAGTAATTTATTATATTTTATATCTAATAAAAATTTATTTCATATTTGTTCCAGGCTTATTTTTTTTATTTAAAACACCTCCTATAATGTAAAAATATTCTATGACTATATATAGACTAAGGTAACCAGGGCAAAAGCGGGGCGAAGGCCTGCCCAAAATTGGGTCTGAGGGCGAAGCTTCCAGAAATTTTTTAATTCCCCCCCCCCCCTTAGGAAAATCCTGCTACGCCTATGTCTATAAAGTTGATTATTATATTTGCTTTGTAAAATAAATTTTACTGTAAATTTTTGCAAATGATAAGTAAATTGTTGTAATTCAAATATTAGGTAAGATTTTAACAATCTGTGTTTGTTGAGATTAGTTAGTACATAAATTAAAAATCAATTAATTAATATTAAAAAGAAACATTAGAAAATCAAATTGATCAAAAATTTATTTAATTAAAATATTATACCTGTGTTTTATTTAATTTCAATGAATTAAGAACAAGAAATACAATTACAAATGTTGGCTATATTAATTCTACAATAAATCTATGTATAAAAATATAATAAATTAATCAAAACTTAGCTTTCACTCTACTCAAACTCAACAGGAAGCTTTTTCATTTCATTTGAAAAAAAACAAAGAAAAGCACGTGGTAATTATGTATCATGCGACGTTATTGATATTTTATGCATTAAAATATAGTAAACGATATGTTAATAATAAATAAATGATAAGAGAAAATAATGTGAACATAATAAAAAAAAATTTTTGATATTTTCCTCTGATCGGCTTCACCGCCTGGTACCCTTTCTTTATGTCTCTATTATGAATGTAGTTTGAATCACCGTTTTCTAATTCAGGCATAGTTTCATATTCCACTTGCTCCGTTAAATATTTCACAAGATAAACATTTAAGCGTTCTGGAAATATTATGTATACCTTTATTTTATTATAACAATTTATTCAATGTTATAAGCTAGTATTTTTTTCTGCCTGAATTATAGATGTTCAGTTCATATTTTTCTACCAGACAAATAATTAATTGTAAGAAGGTTTAGAATTAAAATAAATTATTATATACGATATGAAAATAATAATTTATTACCAGAAAAGAGATCTGCAAAGTTAGGCCCGGATTTAAAATAATCGGGTTCGGGCCGGGCCTTGGAAATTTTATTAAATATATCTAAATTTCTCAATTTTATATTGAATTTTTTATGTAAAATAAAAAAAATTTTATTGAAACTAAACGCTATATAACATGTCTTTTATTTTAAGTAATAATAAAAATTTCTATATTTAAATAAATTCGGGCCTGGCCGGGTCGGTAAATTTTT